CGTCGTTGCTTTTTGTTGTTGTTGTCATTGTTTTTATATATAATTCAAAGACTATTTTTAATGTATCAAACAATAAAAAGGAGAAAAGAAGAAATGTATAATTTATAAAAAAAAAGGAAATTATAAAGAAAAGAAAATGTAAAAAGAAATGTATTTGCAATGTTGATGTAGTAGTAGTAGAAAAAAAAATTATTCAGAAGAAAAAAAATGTTAATTTTTTCATTGCTTTTTTTGAATTTTTTGGTTATCATAAATAGAAAAGAAAAAAAGAAAAATTATTTATTTATATGTATTTAAAAGAATTTTGATATGATAACTCTCATACACTCACATACATATAATATGTATGAGCGAATGAGCATTATTCATTATTTTTTTGTGTTATAATAAAAATTACTAACTATTTGATTATTTATACATTCGTACAGCTGACTTTGCTGCCCTAATTATAATAATTTATTATTATTATATGGTTATTGATAAAAATCCAAAAAAAATCCTAAAGATACTTACACACTAGGCTTCCTCCTTTCAGATTCAAGTCGACTATATAACAAATAAAGAGCCATTTGATTTGACTCGGGAGTTCCAGTGATGGTAACTAAACGTTCATTAGTATTACCATGTGGTTCAGCAATTTTAATATGAGAGCCAGACAGATTTCTAATTTCATTAATTTTACTCCCGCCTTTTCCAATGATACAGCCAACCATATCATTAGGAATGAAAATTTGTTGAGCTTGTGAACCTGGTGGAGGTTGATGATGATGAGCGGCAGAAAGAGGACCTGGTGGAGGACCTGGTAAGAAATCACGACCATATGGAGGGGGAGCTGGTGGAAGACCAACATAAAATGGATTACCAGCAGTTAAAGAAGGAGCAGCGGCAGCAGCTTGATGATAAATAATACGAGGTTGAGGACGATATAGAGTGATGTTTACATTTCTATCGTTTTGATGTTTGGCTAACTCCTCGCCGACATGAAATACAGCAATATGAATTGAATCGGGTACACCAGTGATAGAAATGGTACGTTCTGTTGATTGAGGTAACATATCTTCAGAGGCTAAACATCTAGCACCTGATTTTTCCTGAATTTCTTTGATCTTGCAACCACCTTTCCCAATCACAGGACCCATTTTAGAATGAGCCACAAGAAGTCTTATAGTGGTAGATTTAGAATTAGCAGTTGAAGGAGCATCTAAATTTTCATCAAGAACTTTACGTGCTACAAGCGCAAATGCCTTAAAAAAAAAATTTAAAATAAAATTGTATTAATTATATATATATATATATTATATAATAAATGTTTACCTTTGCAACAGTATCTAGTGGACCGGTGACAGTTAAAATTCTTTCATATGCACCTTGAACCATTTCAGATATAGTTACTTTAGCACCCGATCTTTCTCTAATTTCACTAACATTTTTACCACCTTTACCAATGATAACACCAGCTTCTTTTGTAGTGACCAAAGCACGAAGAGAGATAGTTGCCAAAGTAGACTCTTGTTCAACGTTTTTTTCTTTTTCGGTAGCAACAGGTGAACGAACGTTTACCTCCAACACTTCAGCAGCAGTGGCAGCCGGTGACTCCAAAGCGGGTGACGCGGCACGTTCTTCGCCATTTACCTCTTCTTGAAAAGCAAATTCAGTAGAATTATTATCCTCTTCATTTTTGATAGGATTAATTATATTGTTGTCAGTGATATCATTATCAGTGCTATCGTTATTTAAAGCCGGACGTTTGAAACGACCTCTACTATCGTCGCCACTAATATGATCTTCTTCGTCGTCAGAAGGAAGGGATCTTTTACGTTCAGAGGGAATTTCTTCAGACAGTGACATTTTAATTTAATTTTTTTTTGGAATTTTTTTAATTTTTTTATTGAAAAATGTAATTGCAGTGGCAATAATAAGTAATCTGCTATTGTTTTATGTATCTATATATAAATATTTTTTATAATTTATATGTATTAATATATATATTTATATATATGTATGTATGAAAGATAAAAGAGAAAAAAAAAGAGATAATAAAATTATTAAAAGTTTTTGTGTGCATGTGCAGCAGTACCCCAAATTCTTTTTTATTAAAAAAAGGGAGTATTCTGTTGATGATAAAAAAGCAAATTTGAGTTTGAATAAATTCAGTTAATAAAATAGTGTGTCATATGTTATTTATGAATAAATAAGGGAATTAATCCTGAATGTTTATGATTGATTGATTTGATTGATTTAAAATTTGGCCCAAAAATTTTTTTATTTTAAAATAAAAAAAAATATAGAATCGACATTATTCAGGAGAACAATTGAAAAAACTAATAATATTCATTCATTTACTTGCTCTCACTTACTCGCTCACTCACTCGCTCATTATTGCTGATTGATTTTTGTTTTTGTTTTTTCCCCCAATTTATCGATTACAGATTCTTAATTTTATTATTAAAAATGTTGCTCTTTCATTCATTCATTCAAAATGTCTGATTTCTGTGCTTTTTGTATTACCTTTATGAATAAATCATTAATTTTGTTTTTAGGGATAGATAAATGGGGACTAGAAAAGGCCCCATTAATTGGATGTTATTTATTATTTAAGAAATAATAAAGGGAGGAATCAGGAATGAAACTAAACCATTTTAGGATCATTTCATTAATATTTAAAGAGAGTGAGAAAGTTGTGTATGAGAAAGAAAGAATAATTATGTATAGCTGTAGATATATTTTGAAGTAATTAATCTATATTAATACATGAGTATTATAGAACAACAATATAATGATAGCAATAATCACATATATTAGATATTGTTCTTGTTCTATATAAGTTATAGTTATGAAATATGACACGGCAATCAAATTAAATCGTCATGTGAAAAGTACGACGGTCGTAATTGGATGTTGATTGAACATCTATGATTGGAAGTTGGAGTTAGATCTACGTGATAGAGAAATTTCCCCTTTAAGGTTTGGTTCTTTTATCTATCTATCATACAGTATGTGTGACGCGGTAGTTTAGATTTACAAGTCATTGGCCTCTAGGATTTGTTTATTACAATGTAACAGTTCTAACATATAGAAGCAAAGTGACTCACGACAATGTTGAGCTGGACACAAATAGTTGTTGACTTTTCTACGATCAGCTTCATCACCGGCATTAATTGGTTGTTGAGTCGATGATGATTGGATGGATTAATAGCTAACTATCCAAGATGACACACTACACTTTTTCCATAAACCACATTCTTTTGCATGGATGGATATACTGTACTGTACTCTAATTTTAATTATCTTGCCAATGCTGTCTTCATTCATCGTTATTGTTTATGCTTAAATTTTGATTCTGGGACCGATGATAAAGATGATGATGATGGTAGAGAAAGTGTGTCACACTTTTTTTGTTTTTATCGAGAATAAGTTTTCCACGGAGAATGTGGTGCGATGGTGACAAAAAAGTCTTTCTTAATCGTGATGCTTTCGTTGATCAATATCAGAAAGATAAAGAAATCGCCACAATAAAATCTTTGATGTTGACGTTTGCTTAGATGACAGACAATACTTTGAATAGTAAGTAAAGTCTATCATGTAAAATTTTCTAAAATCACTTTGCGGCTACTTGACAGCTACTCGATGGACGATGACAAATATTTCCTTTTAAAATCAATACACACAAATAAATCTCTTGTCTAATGAAAAACTGGTTTTTACATAAATATATATATATATATATATATATATATGTATATGTAGATATTATATATATACTAATACATATACACATAGTTACACAGACATATTTAGTGATTAATTGAATTTTAATTAGGTGAATTGATCTTTATTTGAAAACTTTAAAAAAAATGCTAAAATATAAAGCCAAATTAGTGGAGATTGGGGACATATATATATATTTCATTATTAAGTTAAGTAGTTGTACCAAAATCAACGAATTAACAAATAATATTAACAATATTTATAAATAAAATAAACAAATAAATAAATAATTACTAAAGAAGTTACAATGACATTATTATTATTTTTTATAACTTTTTTTGCTAGTGGCTGAGTTTTATTGTTACAGAATTACTTTTTCAAAAACAATGACATTTTTTTTATAATGTACAATTTATAATAATAAATAAATAAATAAATAAATAAATAAATATATAAATCTATTTATTTATTATCCAACAAAAAACAATAATAACGAATTAATAATTAATTGATGGATGATAATAAGTATCGAATTAATTCCTTTTCAAGTCAATTTTTTTTAATTTACTCAAATAAAATAATAAATCATTATTTTCATTTAATTAATTTGTTATATATTTTTATTCATTGTTGTTCTGATGATGTTAAAATATGATGATATTTGTTGTCTTATTATTATTATTAATTATGGTAATTTTAATTATTATTGTTTTATTCAAACTTCACAACTAATTTTTTCAATTGCTACAGTTTCAAATTCAACTTTTCATTACCAAATTCATCTCAATTCAAATCACACTCGCAATTCATTAAATCTCGGTAATTAGTAATTATGATTAAAAAAAAAAAAAAATTTATTTTGGCGTGTAAAATAATAAATAAATAAATAAATAAATTATTTTATAATTTTATAGGAGGGATAATATATATATATATAAATAAAATATGATGATAATGATTTTTTTGCTTCCTTACTTAATAAAGCAGAATAATAAAAATAATAATAAAAAATAATAATAAAAATATAAAAATATTAATAATAAAAAAACTTAAATATTTTTTTTCTTTGCGAATGTTTGTTTTTATTATCATTTTAAAAAATTACTATAATAACTATTATATTATCTATAATTAAAAAATTTTATTATATAAATACACTTTATTAATTGAGAATTTTTTTTTATTTTATTTTTTTCCTAAAATTTTTTTTTCTTAAAAAATTCCTTTTTTTCATTAATTAATTTTTTATTAAGAAAAATTTTTTTTCAAACAATTAACAACAATAATCGAAAATGTTTTTATCATCAGAACAACAAAATAATACTTCAACCAATAATAACAATCAAATTAACACGATGCTATCAACAAATAACAATGATAATAATCTATTATTATTATCATCACCATCATCACCTACATCTACTACAAATAACAACAATAATAATCTAGATGATAATCTAGATGATGATACAATTGTCACTGCATCTACTACTATTGCTAACATTACAACCACAACTTCCTCTTCTTCTTCTTCTTCTGGCTCTTCTATTCTACCTTTTCTACCGCAACCTTCCAAACCTCCTTCCCCTTATGAAATTACCATCGATAAAAAAGAATACAATGAAGAAAATCAGCTATTGTTAGCTATTTCTAATGACAATGGCGACGACATTAATAACAACAATAATAATGTTAATGTTATTGACGACAATGTTCATTCTACAGCACTTACAACCACAGTTACTGAAGAAGAAGCAGTATTAAGAGAAGAAGAAGCCGAAGAAGTAATAACATCCTCGTCAATCATTCTACCTTCAACAGCAACTACGCAAGATCCAATTTCTACCTTAACAGCGTCGTCATCATCATCAACATCCACCACCACCACCACCACCACCACCACCACCATTATCAACAATGACAACAATAATAATAATAACACAACTGAATTACCTTCAGCGCCATCTCCTAATATAAATAAAGATTCTTTAAAATTCTCCTCAACCTCGACCTCATCAAAATCATCACCTCCTTCTTTATCACAAAGATCGACCAGAAAAACCAGAACTAATCTCAAGATTATCAATGACAACAACAACAACAGCAACAATAATATGATGACGATGACAGATGATAATATCGACATCTCTTCTCCCTCTTCATTCTCAATTCAAAAACCAAAAATCAACAATAATAATTCAAAACCAAAGAATAAAATAATAATTCCAACAAATAAATCAATCGCATCAAAATTAAATCTATCAATATCAACAACTCCTCCTTTTTCCTCATCCTCATCATCGCTATCCTCCAATTCCACTTCAAAAACCACCAATTCAGTTGGTCGTCATCCCCCCACCAAAGATGACATGATCGAATCAAATTTTGCCAATAAATATATTGATTTCATAACTTATTGTAATCCAAATGCTCCAGCTGATATGGATTATACTCCATTGATACGTTCTTTCAACTCTGTGCCAAAATCTGATGGTAAAAATTTTGATACTTGGACTCTTTATCAATTAGTATCAAAACATCATTCTGGTGAAATTAAGACTTGGACAAAATTAGCTCAACAACTAGGTGTTGAACGTACTGCTGATTCTAGTCCTCAAAAAATTCAACAATACGCCGTAAGGCTCAAGGTATGTTGTGTTGTTATTTTTGTGAATGTGTGATATGTGATATGTCACGTGAATCGTTCTTCTAGTCACTATAACTTGTTATGGTTAAGATCTTCGTCACATTACTAATGTGTACGTACATATATTATAGAAATGGATGAAATCAATTCATATCGATGCATTCTTTGATTATCTACTTTCCAGACCAAATGAATATTATCAAGACCCTGATAAAAACCCTATTGTAAATGCTGATCAATCGCCCACAGCAACTAATCATCATAATAATAATATTGAAGAAGAAGAAGAAGACTATGGTAATAATGATGGTGATCTTGTATTAAAGTTGATTAGGCGTTCTGGTAGTAAAAGACAAAAAAGAAAATATACACGTCGTAATACTATTGATAATAATAACAGTAATAATAATAATAGCAATAACAATGATAATGATGGCAATTATGAAGATTATTATGAAGACGAGGATGATAACGGATATCAAGATTATGATGGTTTATATGATGAGCATTATGGAGGAAATGATGATGATAATAATATTAATAAAATTAAAAAATTAAATATTAATAAAAAATTATTACCAAATAAATCTACTGCTGGTAATAATAATGGAGGTAGTCGTAATAGCAAAAATAATAAGGATGGTCATCGTAATAAACGTTTAAAACCTAGTGTTGTTTCGTATTCTGATGACGATGATTCCGATGATGATGATAATTCCGTTGATGAATTAGAAGTAAATAATAAAAAGAATAAGAATAAAAGGAACAATAGTAACAAAAAAAATAACAACGATGAAGATGATCCTTGGGAACACGACGACGATGATGTTGACGATGATGATAGTAGAAGGATGGAAATTGATGATGAAATTATTTCTTCTACTACTGCTACTACTACTAATAATACTAACGCAAGAAAATCATCAAGATCATTTGAGGGTAATTTAAGAAGAAGAAGTGTAGTTCAGGTATTTGCTGTTACATTTTCATTCATATTCCTTTTAATTTTATTTATAATAATAAATTCTTATTTACTCCTCCACTCACATTCAATCACTTATATTCTTTCAATATAGCATGCTACAAATAGAGGTAAAGGAACGCAGTTATTGGGTAAACCAAAAAATATTTCTATATCCCAACACATCCCAACCCCGAATCCTTCACCAACAAACATTAATAATTTTGGTGAATCTGGAAGTCTCCATCATCGTCTTAATTCTTCGACAACAAATAATACTACCACTGGTGGTGGTGGAACTCTAATAAGATGGCGTAGTATTTCTGTCGGTGGTGGTCCTATTAATAATACTGCTGCTGCTAATACTAATACTAATAACAATAATACTATTAATAATAATAATAACAACAACAACAATAATAATAGCAATGACACATCTCAATCATTTACATCCATACAAAAAAGTGTCAGAAGAAAACATAGTGGTGGTAGTGGTGACATTGTCTCGCCTTCTGGAAGATTTGAAACTTTTAGATTTTCTCAAAAAAGAGATAATCAACAACATCATCATCGTCAGCAGCAGCAGCAGCAACAATTATTAACTTCAACAACTAATGACAACAATAATAATAACACATCACCACTTAGTTGGTTTTGGCAACAATCTTCCAATAATAATAATCCAAATCCTGAATCTTCAGAAATAACTACTACTACTACTACAGCAGCAGCTAATAATAGTGCTGCTGGTTCAAATGATACAACAACAGCAATAACTTCTTCTTCTTCTTCATTTGCAGAACTTTTATTCCCACCTAATGATCCCAATGAAACAATTTCTGTATTTCAAAAACGTTTGGTTAAAGCTGTTGGTATGTTGGAGGATAAAGAACGTCAGATCGACATGTTGAAAGATTTGATTAGACAGCGTGACGAAGAGATGAGAAGTCGTATTGTTAAAGGAATGAAAAATGATATTATGGATTTATTTCAAAAATGGGAGCAATAACATATATAAATATATAAATATATAAAAACATTATATAATATAGATATTTTTTTATAATAGACTTTTATTAAATATTATGACATATGTATATATGAAAATAGATTATATCTTATTATAGATTATACGGGTGTTTGTTTAAGGGTTTTTTATTTGGGATATATTTTATTTGGAGATATTTTTTAATAGAAGTTATTTAGGGGGGTTTCGTTACTTTTAGATAGATTTAGGTTTTAAATGTTTATTATTAATGATTTCATTAAATGATTATTATTCATTGGGCGTCTAAACTAAATTTGGTTAAAGTTTTGTACATAGCCCCAAAAAGCATTTTAAAAAAGAATCCATTAGTTTTGAAAACATTCATTACGAATACTTGAAAACATTTCCTTTTAGGAATACTCGAAAACAAACATTGCAAAAATGTTCGAGAGTACTTCGTTTTTTTGAGAATTTGTGCTACAATGAAAGTTCAGGGTTCAAAATTGTTTACCATTGTGACAGTTTTATAACCGGTACCAACCGTAAAAATTAAGAGTTAACCGGTTAATTTTAGAAATGGCTAACTATAACCGGTTAACTTATTAATCGGCTAACAGGTTAATTTAATCACGTGAAAGTTTTTAACTGGCAAATTCGTATAAAACGAATCATTAAAATAATAATAATAATAATAATAATGATGATGATGATGATGATAATAATAATAGTAATAATAATAATAATAATAATAATAATAATAATAATAAATAATAATAATAATAATAATAGTAATAATAATAATAATAATAACTGATAGTAATATCCAATTAAAAAATTTTCTCTTTTTTTCAATAGTTGTTTTTTCCCTTTGTGGTGGTAGTAATAATTTTTTTACTAGAAAATAGTCGTAGTAGGTTTCTATTCGAATAAGAAATATTTATTTTATTCATGATGAATTTGAGTATTCGAATTACATTAAATGCTTACCCAAATAAAACGAACACTTCAAATAATGAATAAAACGTAGTGATATTATTATTCAAATATTCAATGAATATTCGGTTACACGTGAATACTCGGTATTACATACCAAATAAGCAATGATCATCGTCCTCATAAACAAGTCATGCGCAACGTTTAAAACAACAATAATTTTTATTGAATAAAATGAATAACTTGATAAACAAATAATTTGATAAAACGAGTAATCGAATAAAATGAATAAAACAGCGAATAAAGCGAATAAAACGAATAAAGCGAATAAAGCGAATAAACGAGTAATTCGAACAAAACGAATAAAACTACGAATAGAAATTCTACTCTTATAAAACAAGACCCGAAATATTAATTTAAATTTTAATTCGAATATTTTAACTTGTACTTGGTCAAAAAGTGACGTTAATCTTTTCTTTTAAAATTAATTTAAACGATATAAATAAAAATTCGAATATAAAAAAAATTAAACACGAGAGGTTAGGTCACATGTCCGAAACACGATTGGGCAGCCATAATTTGAAATGTTATTTTAGCATTTCTAATTTGGTATGTAGTACCGAATATTCGTCACTAAAACGAATAATGAGTAATTCAAATAAAATGAATAAATTCAAATTAAGATTGAGTTGTATACAAATAATTCAAATAAGAATGTGTATTACGAATAGAAATTCTGGCCATAAGTCCCACCTAAAAGAAAAAATAGATTGATACTCTCTAGAGCAGCTGGAAACTCTATAGTTGGCTCGGTCTAAAGACCTCCTAAATTTTGGGCAAATTTAAAAGTATAGAAGTCACTTTCTGTCCTACCTTTTAAAAAAATTGCTCTGTTAGTTGATATAATATGTCTTTAGTTTTGATGTAATAGAGAGATTTTCTCAAAAAAATAATTTGTTGTAGATAGGGATGGGAAATTGCATGAAAATTTCAAACTTCATGCGCATGATGCGCACTGCATCTGCCGATCTTTTTTATTTTTTAAAAAAAATTTTTATTATTATTAAAAAAAACAAAACAGATTTAATTACTAATATTAGTCACTGATTCAGATGTATATACATCACTATCATCATTTTCACTTCACTAACATCATCTTCCTGTTC